TTTTGACTTCATTATTCATATAGACTTTATATAAACTTTAAAATCAATTTGTTAAGATCTACAAAATAACTTTTTGTGGTTTTTAATGGGATTGCATTGAATCCATAGGTCAAATTGGGAAAACCTGATTTATCCACATGACAGGATGTTACTTTATCATTATCCAGCTAGATTCTTCACAGAATTGTACTGGAATTACATGATGTTCATAATCTCTGAGCATTTTTATTCTAAGATAAACAAGCTGGGCACTGGTGGCTCACACCTGTAATCCTAGATACTCAGGAGGCTGAGATCTGAGGATCCTGGTGCAAAGCCAGCCTGGGCAGAAAAGTCTGTAAGAATCTTTTTTTGGGGGGGGGTAGTCATGGGGCCTGAACTCTGGGCTTGAGCACTGTCCCTAAGCTCTTCAGCTCAAGGCTAGCGCTCTACCACTTGAGCCACAGCGCCACTTCCGGATTTTTTCTTTTCACTTATGTGGTGCTGAGGAATCGAACCCAGGGCCTCAAGCATGCAAGGCAAGCACTCTACCACTGAGCCACCTTCCCAGCCCCTTTCTGCTTCTTTAATGCCACAGTGCTAAGGTACTGAGCAGGGAGCTCAGTTCTTTCAGGTTGCAAAGCCATGAGGATTTTCCTTTTCTGGCGGCTTCTCAGAAGACTGAATCATACGTTCCTTCTGACCCCCTCCACAGCCACATAGCCCATTTCTACTTTTTTCCCTCTAGGAATGTTTGTGTTTTGACATTTGGGAGTGCTATTCTGACCTTTGCTTCAATAACAAAACTCAGTACCTCATCTAGGAGTTGACACTGCTAAGTGGGAGTCTTGCTGTTGGGCCCATAGTGGAGAGCCAATTGCTGTGCCCCATGGTGATCTTGCTACCTTCTAAATGGAGGAAGATGAGGAGCTAGCTATAGGCTGCCAGGATAGTGTATGTCCTTACCTTGGGTCCACAAACGCTGTTGTCTTCTCCCAGGAGCTGAAGATCACACTTTGACAATGTGATTGATTCTTACAGACTAGTCAGAGGAACTCCATGTGCCAGCAGGTGTAAAACCTGGACATACTGGAATGTTCTTCGGGTCCATTCTGCTTGTGACCTTGGTTATAGTGCCTCCTATGGCTCCAACTGAATGGTCACGGATTATTTTGGCCATGTTAGAGCAGATATTTCCAAATCAAATTAGGGCATATACTCAACTATAGGCAGGTTGTTCTCCAGCACTGCCATTATAGTTCCAGTTATTCCACAGTGCTGTTGATGGCCAGCAGCAGCCCTCCCCTCCCCAACTTGAGCTAAGTTTGGAGAGCTGTTTCCCTTTGAGTCTTTCCTTTCTTGTGGAGAGATCAGAGCCCAGTGTTTGCTACTTGTCTTACAAGTCAGCCTTGGACTTAGAGTTTGGGCCAGGTGGTGTCTAGGATTGTTGGGTAGAAACAGATTTAACAGTTGTCGGAAGTACCATGTTTTTCTTTGTTTAGGCTGGCATCATAGAAGAGATGTTAGAGGACACCTTCGAAAGCATGGATGATCAGGAAGAAATGGAAGAAGAAGCAGAAATGGAAATTGACAAAATTTTGTTCGAAATCACTGCAGGTATAATTATGAGGCTCTTTTCTCCCTTTTATGTCTCTTTTTCCTGCAATCATTAAATTAACTAGTAGTTTCATTCTCTAGTTATCAAACACACATCTACATTTGTTTTCTTAATTTTAGAGGATGCCAGTTATTCATGGGGGAATTGGCACAAAATAACCAACTTAAGATGGTTTTTAAATTTAAAGAGTTTTCATAATAAAGGGGAGATACTACTTTCATATCTGCTGTTGGGAATTTAACATGATACAGACTTCATTGAGACAGATTTGGCAGTAGCCTTCTCAAAAGCTTGCAGCTTATTTTGGGTGAAATAATTAAGAGGCTGAAAAGACTTAACTCTGGATATTTGGAGTAGTATTGTTTATCACATTGAAAAGTTCAAAACTAACAGTATATTCTAATGGTAGAATATTATGTCATTTAAAAATGGAACACTGATTGAATAAATTCATTAATATAGAAAGATTTGTTCATCTTAAAATTTAAGTTGTTGTTGAAAAAAAATTAAGTTATTGGAACAAAGAACTGGTACCAAGAAAACTTAGTGAAGATTGAATGACAATTTTTTGTTTTATTGTTGTTGTTTGAGACAGTATCTGCTATGTAGCCCAGGCTAGCCTTGAACTTTGCAATCTTCCTGAAGGCTAGGAATACAGACATAAACACCATGTCCGGCTGACAATTTAATTTTACTCAGAGAAATTTAAAATTAAATCTTTGGTAATTTTTAAAAATTTTGATTAGGTGCTTCAGAAACCAAGAATTTTTAATTTTTTTTTAAAGATGTAATGTCACTATATTGCCTAGGCTTGCTCAAAATCTGGGTTCAAACTGGGCACCAATGGTTCATGCCTATAATCCTAGCTACCAAGGAGGCTGAGCTTTAAGGACTGTGTTCAAAGCCAGTCCAGGCAGGAAAGTCCATGAGACTTTTATACCAAATAATCATACACAACACACACACACACACACCTGGATTCATAAACACACACACACACACACACCACACACACACACACACACCTGGATTCATACACACACACACACACACACAGACACACACACACACACACACACACACACACCTGGATTCAGCAGTCTTTGGTTCCTGGCCTTCTGAATAGCACATGCCAGGCAGGAAAGTCCATGAGACTTTTATACCAAATAATCACACACACACACACACATCTGGATTCAGCAGCCTTTGGTTCCTGGCCTTCTGAATAGCACATGCCACAATGCCCAGCAGATCCAAGGTTCTTAAAATCCTTAGAATTATTATTACTTGAGTCAGTGAACTCAGCCTCCCAGGAGGCTAGAGGTGGAGGATTGCTTATTCCCAGGAGTTCAGACCAGCAAGTTTAGTATCCTCTGTCATGCCATTTTGGCCCAAGAATCAAGGGGCAGGAAGATTGAGGCCCACTTGTTCATCTGCTTACTCTCTTTTCAGGGGCCTTGGGCAAAGCGCCCAGTAAAGTGATAGATGCTCTTCCTGAGCCTGAACCTGCAGGAGCAACAGCTGCCTCAGAGGAGGAAGAGGAGGAAGAGGCCCTGGAGGCCATGCAGTCCCGGCTGGCCACACTGCGAAGCTAAGGCTGCCCAGCGGAACCTTCAGGCTCTCCCTGCAGTCCTCTGCCAGTGCACATGTGCCTCTGAAGAGCTGCCACTTCACGTTTCTCTTGCACTACACCTCTGTCACGAGGCACTGTGTTTTCAGGAAGGTTCTATGCTAATATCTCTTCACTCTCTGCAGAGTTTTTGGGATTTCATAGGGATTGTTCTTCTGGAAGTGATGTGATTAAATGCGTCATTTCCAGGAACATAAACAGCAGTACTGTTTTACTGGGGGAAGGGCAAAGAAATCCATTTTCTCATGAAGCTATTCTCAGCGTTGATTGCCTGAACATTGAGGACTCTGTACATTTTTTTTTGTTGTGTGTGTAAAACACTATATAAAAGGACTTTAATAAATTTCTGCTTTAACTCTTGGTCCCATTGTGGATTGTCATGTGCAGTGACTCCAAGTGTGCTCTCAGATTGTTCCCATGTTGACCTTGGAAAGAAGAGGTTGCTGTGTAGCCAGTATACATGGGACTTGGAAACTCAGCAGAAGTGGAGTTTGCTCTGGATGTTACTCTCCAACCTTTGTAGATGTGTTGTAAGGGTCCACCTTTCTGCATTTTACCGACTAGCCAAAAAGGTGCTCATGAATTGTGCTTCTTACTCTATTGTCTGGATGGCAGTGCTCTACCATCTTGTGTGTGTGCCTGTCTGCAGCCTCATCCCTTCCTTTCTATTGCAAGTTGCATGCAGAACAGATAGTTGTGAGATTTTCACCCTCATTCTGCCTGTTCCTGCAAATGGACCATCAGCACCTTCTCGAAGCAGTAACTGACCAGTAAGTGGTAAGGTCTGATTGTTGTCATGTTCAGTTCTCACAAACCTCTGAGACATTCTTGAGATACACATGTGCTACTCTGCAATAGCACTTTTTGTTAGTGTTTGAGAGTTTACAACACAGACGTAGGGGAACTGCTCAGCTTGATGAAGTGACATATCTGAATCCATCAGAAAGTGGCACATCTGGGGTTCACACCCAGAGAGATCCCTTTAGTCTAAGACCTGTGTGCTCTACACTAGTCAATATTTGGTGGTGATACAGATTTTTGCCATTCCAGTAGTGTGTGTGTGTGTGTGTGTGTGTGTGTGTGTGTGTATTAAGACCTCATTGTTGTAATTTGCAGTTCACTAAAGAGGTACAATATTGAACATTTGTTCATGTACTTGTCATCTGTATACTTGTTGTTTTCTTTTTGTTGTGTTTTTTTTGAGACAGATTCAGTAAGTAGCCCAGATTGGTCTCAAACTTGTGGTCTTCCATATTTTGAGTGGTATTTTGAGTGCCATCAAACCTACATTGTGTATGTAATCAGCACTGGTGAAGGATCTGGCTCCAATGTTTTCTTACCTTTAACTGGATTTTCTGAGTCTTTTGACAATTTGCGTTTTTATTCAGTTTTCTAATGTAGATTTTGGATAAACTGATTTATCAGGTGTGTCTTTTAAATATTTCTCTGGTTCTCTCTAGTGGCTTCTCTTCTCTCAGAGCAGAGACATTTTATTTTTAATGAAATCCTATTATTCATGCATTTAAGCGCATTTCATGCTGTATTTTTTAAGTCACAACTACACACAAGAGTTTTCGAAGTTTTCTCCGATTATCTTTTAAGAGTTTTGTGTTTTACATTTAGGTCTATTTCCATTATGAAGGGTATACAGTATATATGTCGGTTAATGTTTCACCTTTTGTTCATGTGGATGTCTTTGTTCAGCCAGTTGTTGAGAAGATTTTTGTTCTTGTTGCATTGTGTGATGGTGTCTTGATTGTGAGCAATAGTGGACTGAGAAGTGCCTAGATTAATAAAGTTTTCCTCTAGGTAGGTCTGTTGAGGATTTTCCCAGAGAGGATTAGCTAAGTGGGGAATACTAAACCTGAATGCTTGCAGCACTGTCCTTAGGCGGGGGGGGGGGGGGGGGGGGGGGGGGGAAGGGGGGGGCGGCTCCCAGATGGAATGAAAGGAGCAAAACAGCATATGTAGGCATTTTCCATATGCTTCCTAGCTGCTCTGAGGTGGACTGCTCTACCCTCACCATGATAGACCAAAACCCTAAGTTAAGTTATGTCTTTCTTCCTTTGAGTTCATTTTTCTGGGGATGCTAAAACTGACATACTGCATTTACTTTTTTGCTAAAGCTGAATTGACTGTTTTATGTAGGTCTACTTCTGGGCTGCCTGTTTGACTTTACTGATTGTTCTTTCACCAATACCAGACCTGGTATGTTGTCACACTCCTGTAATTCCTGCACTTGGGAAATGGAGGAAGGAGGACCAATAGTTTAAGGCAACCTGCGCTAAATAGTGAGACTGTCTCGAAAAGAACAAGGGGTAGCTGGGTGCCAGTGGCTCATGCCTGTAATACTAGCTATTCATGAGGCTGAGGTCTGAGGATTGTAGAAGCCAGCCAGGGCAGGCTGTAAGACTCTTACCTCCACTTAACTACCAAAAAAAGCTAGAGGTGAAGCTGTGACTCCATTTGAGCAATAAATCTCAGGGACAGTGTCTAGGCCCCAGGATGGGCACAAAAGCCAAGGGGTGAGATGTAGCTTGATGATAGAGTGTTTGCCAGGCATGGGTTCAAGCACCAGCATTGAAGAAAAGCCCCACAGTATTTTGATGACTGAAGTTTTATATTAACACAAAGTCAGATAATGTTTGTCTTTTTGACTTCATTATTCATATAGACTTTATATAAACTTTAAAATCAATTTGTTAAGATCTACAAAATAACTTTTTGTGGTTTTTAATGGGATTGCATTGAATCCATAGGTCAAATTGGGAAAACCTGATTTATCCACATGACAGGATGTTACTTTATCATTATCCAGCTAGATTCTTCACAGAATTGTACTGGAATTACATGATGTTCATAATCTCTGAGCATTTTTATTCTAAGATAAACAAGCTGGGCACTGGTGGCTCACACCTGTAATCCTAGATACTCAGGAGGCTGAGATCTGAGGATCCTGGTGCAAAGCCAGCCCGGGCAGGAAAGCCTGTGAGACTCTTATCTCCAATTAATGATCAGAAAACTGGAAGTGGTTCTGTGGTTCTAAGTGGTAGAGCGCTAGCCTTGAATGAAAGAACTCAAAGATAGCACCCAGGCTGTCTTTGATGACTGGACAACTAGATACATTATAACAAGTTTTTTTTCATCCATTCTGATGATCTAAATCTAGAGTTAGTGTGACTTTTTTTTTTTTTAAAGGAATCATGTTTTCTCCTGCTTTTAGGCTAAAGGAAGAACGCATTGGGCTCATTCTCGTGCTAAGGATTCCTGTTGCCCTCATGTACTTAGATGGGCATCACTGGAGACAAAGTGAGGCGCAATCTTAGCCCCAGAAGGATACACAGCCTGGAAGGCACCTAATGATTGCACAGACCTGCTATAAGTTTTCTTCTATTTTCATATGGTTGAATTGGGTCTAGGAACAGTAGCACTGCTCCCACCTATCCTTCCTCTCAACCCATCACTTGGGATCTACTTCATATTCGAATAAAACCACTCAGTTCCAAGGGCACTTAAAACATCACTTCTTACCACCAGCCTAGTCATTTTCTTTTGTTTCTAAACATAATTTGTTCTTTAAAAATAACTCCAGCTTGAAGTGGTCTCTGCTATTCATAGTAGGCAGAATTGGAACTGAACTTGCACTGCAGCCCTGTACATCTACCTCTGCCTACCAACTCTGCCACAGATCCCTACCTGCCTGAGATTTACCACTTACACAGCTCACATAGCCTTAGGTATCCTTGGAGAATTCCAGGGGTGTGTTTGGGAATTCCTGGAGAGAAAAGAAATCCTATTTGTTCCCAAATAGAACTAGTTACCTCAGGTATGTGCCTAATCCCACAACTGTGGTATTGGAGTATCAGAGCTCACACAGCTTTGAGGAACTGAGACCATTTTTTCTCTTTTTATTTTATTTTTGTTTTATTTTTTATTTTTTTGTTGTTGGCCATGGGGCCAGAACTCTGGACCTGAGCACTGTCCCTCAGCTCTTCAGCTCAAGGCTAGTGCTCTACCACTTGAGCCACAGCACCACTTCTAGCTTTTTCTGCTTATGTGGTGCTGAGGAATTGAACCCGTGGCCTCATGCATGCAAGGCAAGCACTCTACTACTGAGCCACCACCCAGCCCCTCTCATTTAAACATAAGGATTGGTACTTTTTAGATGCCAGTATGTTTTGCCATTAAGAAAGGATATTATGGTGAAATAAATCTGGAAAATGACTAAAATAAACATTCAACCCATTTCTTTACGTCTTTGAGATGTAAGTTTTTCCCGATTATTTGGCTAAGACTTTTTAGAGATCAGAATTAAAATCCCACACATGGAGCCATTTCAGAAAGGCTGTTCTAAGTCATTACAAGGAACTAACCTTTTTCTTTTTTTAGGGTAAGAAAGTTCTCTGTACACATTTAAAAAATATATTTACCGAGGGCTGGAAAGGTGGCTCAGTGGTAGAGCGCTTGCCTTGCATGCATGAGGCCCTGGGTTCGATTCCTCAGCACCACATAAGCAAAAAGAAAAAAGCT